AAAATTGTAAAAAGCTCTCTATTAGTTTAAAGAGCATCAAAAAGTGAATCTAAAACATAAATTTTTATTTGAATATATCATATAGTTTAAGAGTTATTTGAGTTTTGTAATTTTGCGAAGTTTGCCAATTTTGTAAAAAGTATTTTTTGTGTGTGCACCAAAAAATAATGATAAATCCGCAAACCCTCTAAAAAATCCTTATTAATGAAAATTTGTGATCAACAAGGCTTATTTTTTTTTTGGTTGAAGATTATGTATAAGTTTAGTTGGTATTTTTAGTAAAGTTAATTGACATCCTTCAATTGGTTTAGTGGAAGAGTGCGTTTCAATGGAAGATTTGTGTCGCATATCTTCTTCTGACTAAGATATAACCGGCCATTGGTATATTCAAGCAATGTTGTCAAATTACGTGGTCATTTGCCAATATTGTATTATTTTCAGCAAACTATTAAAAATAAAGACCATTAATTTGCACATTATTTTTTCGAAGAATGATCTGTGCCATTATTATTATTTCATGATGGTAATTTAATCTTTTTGTAAAATATTGTAATGTGTGACGCAGTCTATATTAATATGAACGAACCGCTTTAAAATTTTATAATACTTATTATTTATTTAAATTTATAAAAAAAAAATATAAAGAAAAATTAAATTAATTAAAAAAAAAATTTAAGAAAATATTATTGTTCATAATTAAAATCTTAAAATTAAAGCATAGTTAAAATAATCATATTGATATAATTATTTCATTGGTTTAACGATTAGAGAAATTTGTTTGTTTACGAATTTAAACGATTGCCAAAAAATTAATTGATTTCCAACCTTCGAGTTGGATATTTAATCGAGTTCAAGTTTGTCTGCCAAAATAATAAATTTGTCTGTGTATTCAATACTGGAATTTCGCCATGAATTGGTAAAAACTTTTGCCAACTCCGCATTAGTAATGTTAAAATTTGGAATTTGCCGTATTTCGTCTAACAATGCAAAATAGAACAATTCTTGCGGAGCTGGTAAATTTGTACTGGTGTTGTTTTCAAGAATCATTTGCGCATATTCAAGATCAGGCACGTAGATTGTAATAACCTGTCCATTAGACAAATTAGCAGTGGTGGAAATGTTATCACGGTCGTTGCCATCATCAGGAGTAATTTGAATTTCAGGGGCAGTCATAGAAGTATTGGTTTGAAGAGGTGATTGTAATAATTGAGGTTGTTGTAATGTTTGTGGTGGTGAATCAAGGCAACAATTATTATCGCTAATCGGAGAAGGGATTTTGTTATTAAATGTTGTAGATGGAGAATGCATGTAAGGAAGAGGAAGAAGAGGAGAATTATCCAGCAATAATTGATTATAATTAGTGTTTCTATTGCTATTAAAATCTTCTAAATTATCGTCATTTTGTTTTCGAGAATTGAAAAGTTCATACGGTGAACATGTTGGTTCAGAAAATTCAACGTACTAAATAAATAATATTATATTTGGAAAGTCAATAATGAAAATGAAAACATTAATTAGATGGAACCAAATATGTGCATTATTACCTTTGCGTCAAAGTAATACGGAGGAAATTTACTAGGGATCCTTTGATGGGATTGTTCTAGTTGTAATTTATTATTTAAAAAGTGTTCGTTATTATTAATACTATTATCATTGACATTGACATTACAATTGATGCTTGTATTAATAAATTTATTCTCATCATAGATCAAAGGTTGAGAAAGTGAATAAGAAGTGTATTGACAGTTATTATTTGATTTGGTACAAGCCGTGCAAAATGGTATTAATTTATCACATTCAACCTTTTTGCTTTTACAGTACATGCAAGATACGCTCGGATAACCCAAAGCTGCCGCCATTGAAGATTGTGGTGGTGGCATATTAAAATTAATAATTTTTGAGAAAAAAAAAAGAGAAAAAATAATAAAATTGTTTAAAAAAAAAAAGAAAGCCCGAGAAAAAAATTTTGTTTAAAAGCCAGAGAAATAACGATCATTACAAAATAATTAAAAAATAATGTAGATGTTTATAGACATTATATAATGCAGATCGGGACAAGTTTTCTTGGAATAATTTTTATGCTGACACAAAACAGGACCCCGAACAATCTTAGGAGATGGTACATTTCAATTCTGGGTAGAAATGGCCCTCAAAATCGAATATCTTTTCTTAATT